TGTAGATATTATATTATTGTAGTGTATTAACATTAACAAATAATATAAAAAGCTCATATCGAGTATTTGAATCATGAAATAATAAGCTTTAATAAAAAAAAAATTTTTACTATAAAAAAAAAAGCTACACACTTACATCACTAACCATCATTCCATGATATGAAAACCAAGTATATAATTTTGTATAGCCTAATCTAATATTTTATAGTTTTTTTTATTTAGACTATTTTGCTAGTAATTTTTTATTAAGATTATTGTATTACAAATATAATACAATGTTGAGCTTAATATTTAAGCCTAATATCCTGCAGTTATTTTAAAATATTAACTATATTAGAGCACTTTCAAGCAATTAGCTGTATCAGAACAATCTTCCTCTAGGAAACATCTATGATATAAAGTCATTATAACTCAGAAAACCTTGTCAAACCACTACTCTACAATAAGATATCACTAATCTGATAATATTTTCTTGTAGAGAAGTAAAAAAATAAAAAAAATTTCTAATACTAATACTAATTCTAAAAAGAGGAAAGAAAAAAAATAGAAACTAATACTAAAAAACAGATACAAAGATGAAAAGTGAAAAAAGAAAAAAAAAATCTGATAGTAATAATTATTGGCTTGTATTAGGCCTTAAAAAATTATATATTACTAGATAAAGAAGCTTTATATTATTCTCTATTCTAATAAACTATATATAAGAGTAAAAAGTTGGCTAAAACTAAACACCGTAGTCAATCTAGATAGAGTTAGCCCAAAATTTAAACAGAAGTTTTGAAGTATTGTTTAATAGTTCTTTTGGTTTGAGGTATATAATTTATTATGTTGCTAAACAATCTGTACTTGGTTGCTTAATCTGGATATTCGCCTGTTATCCTGTTTTGAAAGTCCTATTTATGTATATAAACAGATAAACAATACTGACTATTTTAGAAAATTATATATTGATCTTTTGGAGAAGATAAGCTGAAATATCTACTTTTTGATAAAAATTTTTTCAAAAAAAAGTAGTAGACCAACAAAGCTTTTCTGTGATTGTTCTTTATAAGTTTTATAATTGTATAGATATACTTAAAGTTTGTAATATTTCTGATATTGATCTAGTCTTTCTATGTTTCCAAAATGCTCTTTTGGTTTAGATGCTGAATATAATAGAAGAGTCTGCCAGAAGAAGTGCTTGACCTTTACAAAAACTAGTTCAAAGTAGACCACTCTTTAGTTTTATACTCTTGATATTTTATTAACAACACATCTACTATTGTAGAACCAAATTTATTATTTATTTTAGTGTTTTCTATAACACTAACCATAGTTTGGTTTTTTGATTTTTGTTAATCAGATGATCATCAGAAAGAGTATTCAATGAGAGATGATCTAGTATTTTATAGTAATTTTAATTTGTTATATTAGAGATATTTTTATTTTTATTAAAGCTAATTTTTTATTACAGATTATATATATATTTACTATATTGCTAAAACTTGTAAATTAGTAACTTTAAAACTACTTTAAAATAATTATAAATTATACTTCAAGAGTCTACAGTAGATGTTTAACGACTTTGTCAGGATCACTGCCCTATATAACATATCACCAATCTGAAGAAAAATTCCCTAACAAAAAATCAAAGATCAAATAAGGTAAGGAGAATTACAAGAAGAGGGATAGTTTTAAAAAAAAACAGATAAGAAAGCAACTAAACTAATAAAAGGAATCTAAAGTACTAATTATAAAACTAAAAAACCTATTTAACAAATTGGTACTTGCTAACCAAGATACTTATCTACTTGATCGTAGTAATTACATAGAACTCAGCTGATATATAAAAAGAAAACTAAGCTAAATGTACTTTAACCTGTGCTAAGGGCTAAAAATTATATGTATATGATTTTGTCATTAGACTGTATATCTCAAATTCTCTTTATTGTCACAACTTTAAATTCATATTCTATTCCAAAGTATAACAAATATATCGACTTCACGTGCTCTTCCAGTTTCGTCTCATCTAATTGGTGTATAAGTCCTTAAAAACCTTCTGAGTCCTCAATATACCGGGGCCACATTCTTAAATAAGGAATAAATTACTTCTTATATAGCTATATGTTTGTTGTGTTTATATCACAGAGTTACCGAATATGGAAGTAATAAACAATGCTGATCTTTTGACAGGGTAGCCAAATCCTCTACTTTTTGTTGAAATTTTGGTTTTGAGAGCGTCAAAGTGGCGAAAATAAAAAAACGTAGCTGTTGTGAGGGTTTTCAACTATAGTAAGTACTTTATAGGCTGCTTCTCTTGTTCTTCTTTCTACTACTATCCAAGTTCACTTTGATAAATTGCTACTAGAATACCCTTTTGGCTTGGATGCCAAACGTAGAAAGAGTCTACCAGAAAAAAAGCTTTACCCAGGCTACAAACTGTTTCTCTAATGCTCGCTTCTCGATGTATCACATTAGAGGCTTCAACGATAGCAACAGAAGAAAAAACTTGGGTAGTTTTAGATATTAGACTTCAAGTTTTTCAACTTAAGTTGGATAAAAATGGTTGGTCCAAGAGATTGTCAGGGAGAGTTGATTACTACTATTTTATAGTGATTGTAGTCGATTATTTTTTATCGACTTGACTAAGCTGATATTCAAAATTCGACTTAGTCGACTATAATCAAGTCGATTATCCTAATTGGCTAATTCTAACACGTGATATAATAAGTTAATGTAATTGGCCAGATTGTCCACTAAATATCAATATTTTTATTTATTTAAAAAATATATAATTGATACCTTTACAGTATAAAGTCTAATATGCTTTATATTTAACTATTGCTAACAATAAAAAAAAATGTCCAATTAACAAAATACCGATCTATCTATATTTTAATCGAAAACATTATATTTTGTTAATGCTAAGTAGTTTTTTTTTCGAAGATTTTTTTGATTTTTTTGATTTTTTTTTTTTTTTAAATCCACAAAATGCCATAAAGGCATTCTTGTTTGAAGATTTAATAATAGCCAATATATTTAATATAACTTGCGTATTTAAATAATGACCTTAGATAATTTGAAAAATAAAAGGTTTAAATTTATGAAATTATAAATTTGCTTTTTAATAATTGTATCGATACTATAGTATCGTGAAAGCTAAAGATTCTTTATACTAAAATATAAAATAAAAAATATCAATAATTAATTTGGCAAATATATGAGTGCTGCCAAAGAAAAACTATGGTTCGAAATTTCAAATATGTTTTTATTACTAGACACTATTTAATTTATTAGAGATTGTGTCTGGTACAAAATATATTTGAAATTCTGAACTAAAGTTTTTTCTTGGCAGTAAATAAAATAAATTAATATATTAATTTCTTACCTTGTTATAAACCAACATATACATTGATAATTGAAGAATTTTCTTTTAAAAATAACAAATCATAAACCATATCTTTGCTTAAATGATTACACTTATCAGTTACTGTGTTACCCATATCAGAAAAAAGTCTTTCTGCAGGTACAAAAGTAGCTGATATACTCAAAAAAAATCGAGCTTGTTCTGCAAGAAGAGGTAATGAATTTTTATAATTATTTCACCAGACTAACGAATTAAATTTTTCATAAAGTAGATCTTTTGGATTATATTTTGATAATGGAGGAATTGAAAAATACATTTGTAATTCAGTATCGGCTAGAGAAATAAATGAAAATTCAGTATCGTCATCAAAAAAAGAAAACATATCTGTTTTTGGATTTTGTCTAATATTTGACAAGTTTGCTTGTTGAGAAAAACTAATTTTATTATGTAATTTTTGCATCACTTCTTGTTGTATTGTAGAAGATGCAGCAAACAGGGTTTTAAAATGAGGATCAAGTGCTGTAGCTAACCATCTATCCATTTTTGGGTCATCCTATCGAGACGCCATTGATGAATAAAGACTTTGGTGTATTTCAATAACAGATAAATATGTAATTTGATTTTTTATTTGGTCCAAAATTTTAAAAAAGTGACGTATAATTGGATACATCATGCCTAAAGTAGGGTATTGATCACTACTCATAAATACTGATGCATATACAAAAGGATGCAGTAAACGACATAATTTCTCTAATCCACACCATTCTTCATTTGTAAGCATTGTTTCATTTATTTTATTACCATTAGCACGAACTGTTTGATCAGGGTTATTTATAAGATTTACAACTAGTTCAAAAATTAAATCTCGAGGATCTAGAAGTCTTTGAAGAACTAAATAGGTGAAATTCCACCTAGTAGCAATATCGCTTGATATGGGATTCAATACACAAGTAGGCTGGTTTATTAAATTTGTGGTCTCTCTTTTTTCAATTATTTCTTTTTGAATTTTGTGAAATCTAGATCTGTATTTATCACGGTTAACTAAAAAATTATTTAATAATTTTGCACATTCGACTAAATGCTCACTTTTTTTTAAACCATCAGTTACAACAAGATGAATTGTATGAGCTGTATAACCAAGATGAGTAACACCTAGTTGTCTAATCGCCTTTTTCATAGATGATGTATTATCTGTTACTACAGTATTAAGCTTACTAAATATTTCCCATTCTGAAAGAACTTTTCTTAAAAAATCCTTAATTCGATCTCCCATATGTGGATAAGCAAACATCTCAATTGTAATTAGAGCTTGGTACATTTTAAAGTCTTCTGAAAGCCAGTGAGCCGTTATACCAATATATGGAACATGGTTTTGTGTCCACAAATCAGTTGTAATACAAACGGAGGTCATTGTTTGATGCATCATTTCTTTTAATGTGGCATATGTATAAAATACTGACTTTATGATAAAATTTTTGATTGTATTTTTGCAAGGAACATCAAATCATGAATTAATTTCATAACAGAAATCATGAAAGCGATCATGGCTGATACAATCCAAAGGCAACATGGCCTCAATTATCCAGGCAACAAGTCAGTAAACAATACTATTTTGTTTTTTTTCGGGAAGAGGTGAACTGTTTTCTATTTGCTTTTAGATAATAGATTCAATTGTTGGTTGAGAAACTGGTACAGAATTCATAGATGTAGTTGATGGTGTTTTCCATTTTTGATTTTTAAAGATCCTATATTTAGTACGAAGATGTGCTGCAATACTAGAAGTTGATGTACGAGATTTGAAAACTGTTTTACATTGTTCAAATATACTATCACCCTTATCTACATTTACTTTACAATGTTTTTTTTTGTTATTTTATTCCGGCAAGTATATAGCCATATCCAGCTTTTAACCAGTCTTTTTTTTTTTTGCTTGTGGTCTAGGGCTTGCTAATTTTGTAGAAGTCTCACATGGAGGAAAATATGAGGTAATAGATGAAGATTGGACTGTAGTATTATTTTCATCTTCCGCAGGACTATCTTCACTAAAGCTATGTTTTTCATTATTGTCTTTATTGTATAAATCATCAAATTCAAAATTTCTATATAATATATTTTCATTAATTATTGGTTCTTCAAACATTTTATTGTGAATGTTATGAGATTGTGGATTATCATTATATATATCAATCAATCGGCAATATCATAACTCTTTGCATGTTTTAATGCATTAAAGGTATATATCTGAAAACAATTGATTGTATATTTTTCAGGAATTTTCATTGTTGTAACAATGAAAATTCTTTAAAAACATATGTATTCAAACATGCTAGCTATACATAGAGTATTCAAGCTTATGCGATTTTATAGATTTTTCATTGTTCAAACAATGAAAAATTCCTGAAATCGCATAAGCCTAGACACTCTAGCTAGCTATTTTTGAAAGTTTGGTTCTTTAAAAAATACTGATTATCTAACCTGAAATGCGAAGCCAATACCAATAAAATAGCCCATTCAAGCAGTATTCACTTTGGGTAGGCTCAATCGATTTATAATGCTAAATTATAGATAAAAAAATATGCATTTTTTTCATAATAATTTAACTCTTTTCCTATTAATCATAGGGGGCATACGCAGAATCATGCTTATGATGCACGAGACTTTTTGGCTTTGTATCTGATAAAAAAAAATATTACTTTTAGTAATTATTGTACATAAATATGCATATCGGCTTACTTATACATAACATTTTGGGTCAGGTACCGGTGCTTTGGCTAATTCATTTTTAAAAGTAAATCCGGGATAATAAAACTTTTATATATTGTAAGGCATTGACCAAAGAGAGAAGAAATAAATTCTCATAATACTAATATAGTGTTATGCAAATTTTTGATTTAATAAAAAAAATTTAAACTATATACTCAGACCTGTAAATACTTCGTTGAACGATATAATCATTATTTTTTTTTTACTAAGATCTGGAGAAATTAAAATATTACCGTATATTATCATCTTTGAAATTTAGGCATAACAACTTTCAATAAATTTATTGTGTAAATTTTTCTTGGCTATGATAATATCGACACGCTTTATCTCATAATCATGAATTTTTAAAGTTATATGTATACATATTTGATCTTGGAAATGGCATTTTTACTTTTATATTTTGATGCATTTTGATTGGCTACATATTGATAAAATGATTAACTTTAATCAACTTGACTAAGTTGATTTTTTAAAAAATCGGTCAACTTAGTCGACTAAGTCGATTTTATCGACTAACTCCAAATCGACTACAATCACTAGTTTTTCTGGTTCTAATAGTGGTAAGATCATCAAAATTGGCTTGGTAGATTCCAAGATATTTGAGATTAAAGATATAAATATAAGGATCTGCAAATTTAAAGAAGTTTTTATTAAGTTAGAGTCTCTTGGGCTTCTAAGTAAAGTTGTAGAGAAGATTTTTCTGGTTCTAATGGTGGTTAGATCATCAAAATTGGCCTGGTAGATCCCAAGATATTTAGGGTTAAAGGCGCGAATATAGAGATCTACAAATTGGTGGTTACACAACGTCTTATAGTCTTTAGTACTTTGTGTAACCACCAATTTGCAGATCCTTATATTCGCGCCTTTAACCCTAAATATCTTGGAATCCACCAGGCCAATTTTGATGATCTAACTACCATTAGAATCAAAAAAATCTTTTCTACAACTTTACTTAGAAGCCCAAGAGACTTTAACTTAATAAAAACTTCTTTAAATATTAAAAAATTAATTTCTTAAATTTGATTGGTTATTTAAAAATAGAATTTTT